GATCTACCCAAATTTTAGGGCAATTATCGGGAATGGGGTAATTTTCGGGATCTATTTAAATCAATGATTCATGAAAACGCGTCATTGTCTGATATTAAACGGATGCATTTCTTAAAAAATTCTCTAACAGGTGATGCTGCCGTACTCCTTAATAACATTGCGAAGAGATGATCAAAGGAGAAGAAAAATGGACGCGCGTTAAGCAGCTAGTTATATAATAAAATTGGACTTCGTTACATTTTATTTTTATTTAACGTCAATAATATTTATAAATTTTAAAAAATGAGTATTCTTGGAATTTTTTCAATGGGTTGACTCTGAGACTCGAATCCTTGACCATTATAGCTCTCAATCGCACTGAGAGCACAGTAACGCGCTCGACCAGGGGAGGCTATGAAAATTTTTGAGAAAATGTCTTATAACGAACACATTAAATAGATACTTATATTATTTTGTAAAGTCATCAAACAGCTTTTCAGATGTTTATTATTACAAATAAATAATGTGATCTAAAATAAATTAGTACAAAACTCCAATTTAAAATTTTTTTAAAACAAAGAAAATCAGTTATATTAACATTAATTTTAAGTTTTTAAAAGTTCCAAAAAAGTTATCAAGCTACAAAAATTTACGAAATTTCTGAATTTGATTATTTTTAAACACTATCCCAGTGGGCAAAATACCATTTTCGTTTTAAAAACGGTTTTAGAACGTTTCATGTCTGCCAAATAATGTTCTAGAACATTATTTGAACATATCTATGTTCTTAAAATTTTTCAGAACATGATTTGGTAGACATGAAACGTTCTAAAAACGTTTTTAAAACGAACATGGTTTTTTGCCCACTGGGTATAACATTTTATTACTATGTTTATTAATTTGGTATGCCATTACTTGATTGTTAAAAATCAAGTAATTTATGTTTTGCTCAAATTTTAATATTCAATGTTAAATTATTTGTAAATAATGTTTTAAATAAGTGTAATTTTTAAAGTTTGACTAAACAAACATTAAGTTTTATTTCTATTTGCGAATTCTAAAAATTTTACTTTTTTCCCTTCACTTTTTGTAAATTTTTTAAGAAATTATGACTTTCATGTTTTCACCATGAAAAAGATCTCTTTAACCTTGTAACGATACCCGACTGAAAAAACTTTTACAAGAAAATGTACATGTTCCAGTAATGTTCTTGAACAAGTTCAGCATCCGGATTTGAGACATGTTCTTGTATCAGAACTTGTACATGATCCTGGACAAGGAAATATACTTGTACAAGAAAATGTACATGTTCTTTTACATATTTTTTGTGCAGGTTTCATGTACAGGTACTTTTACATGAACACGTTTAGGTTCTTGTACAAGAACATTTGTTTAAAAATGATTTTTAAAAAAATTTGAAATTTTAGTAAGTTATAATTATTAAGACTCTTCACTTATGCATGCTAAAAATTATTGCGCAGCTGTAAAGGCTTAAGAAAACTACTGCGCTGCCTTTAAAGTTTTTAATTTTTAATTTAAAAAACAAAAATGAACATGAACAAAAAAAATTTATTAATTAACTATAACTATATTATAATTAACTAAATTTAAATTAAATTTATTATTTAAAATAATAAATAAAATAAAAATTAACTAAAAATATTTAATAATTTAAATGTAAAAAATTACAGTTAACTAGTAAATGTACAATAATTAAATTGTGATTAATAAAGAAAAAGTTAATATTAATTAAATAAATATTAATATTAATCAATATTATTAATATTAAGTAATAGCATACAATTTAAAACAATTGTTTAATTTTAATGTAAAATGTTGTAAAATTGTGTTTTCAACCTTATTTAAAATAAGAATATCGATGTTTGAAAAGGTTTTCTTAGAAAGAACTGGTGTGTTTTCTTTAGGTCGTATTAATTTTATTTATTAAAAAAACGACGTGCACAAATCAATCCTTTAAAAACAAACGTTTTGTCTGTCATATTACACACCTCTTCAGTGTAATCTGTGAAAAATTAGTTTTATAAAAATCATCAAAATTAATAACAAAAGTGTTTGGAACACGTGTAAACATAACAATTAATTAATTTTAATTTTATCATTTTAATTCTCGTCGAATTTTAAGGTAATTATTTTTTAGGTTTCACGTGTTCCAAACACTTTTGTTATTCTTTTTTCTGATTTTTATAAAAGTAATTTTTCACAGATTACACTGAAGAGGTCTGTAATATGACAGATGAAACGTTTGTTTTTAAAGGATTGATGCGTGCACGTCATTTTTTTAATAAATAAAATTAATACGACCTAAAGAAAACACTTCTTTCTAAGATTGAAATTTCTTTTAAATTTTAAATCATTTTTTTAATTACTAAATTTATCAATATATGTAATATACAATATTAATTTTATAAAAAAAGCTGTATATGTATAAATTTCATTCTAACGCCCCATCATTTTCGTAACCTATACGGCACTTACTATTTACAGTGTTTGACCTCTACATCGATTTGAAGGTCTAATTTTGAAGGTGACACAAAAGAATCTGAAAGTTTCAGTGTATTAGTGTCACTCTCTTCCCCCACCACTCGCTGTCACCTAGCTGTCAGTGATATACTTTTCGTCTTGCACCTTTTTTCTGTCATCTTCCGACTCGCTTAGTGTTGCTTCTCTGGTTAACTGGAAGCGACTCACTCCTGGCTACCTACAGTGGAATTCCGTTAAGCGCCGGCGCTACATAGCGCTGCTCTATATTTAGCGCTGTGTGGACCAAAAATTCTAAATTTTTTTGTTTACATTTGTTGTAGAAGATATTTAAAATTATTTACCGTTTGAATTTTGCTAAAAAGTTTAAAGACTGCCTTGTATGGAAAAAGAGAAAATAAGTAAGTAGGAGCTTTTGCGAGAGACCGTGATAGACACCTTCCTTGTACCTAGCGCGTCATCCTTGCGACCTCTCTGTAGGTGCGTTTGCGAGAGGATGCGAGTATGACGTCACTACCACGATCACCAGCGTACCGTTCGTTCCTAAACGTTCCTAGTTCGCGAAAAGCAGGAGTATCCGGTACATATCTGATCCTATAACCAATTGACTACCTCCTAGTTTTCCTTTAGTCAATTACCTATAATTGCGCACCCTAGTTGTCGTTTGCCGTGATATAGCTTAAGTAGACATTATTATCTAGATAATTTATTCGGAAAACCCCCTTTTGAACGCGACCTAGTCATCGTGAAGGTACCTACGTAGAAGGAGACAGGGAAAGGGCCGTGCCATTCGAGTAGAGGGCGCTGCGATCGATCGAGAGAACAACAATTGTAAACCGCGACACAAGTTAAACTCAGTTTCTTATGTTTTAATGTTTTAGATTCATTCTTTATCTTTTGTATTATATGGATTCTTTTGTTCATTTATTATTATATGTTATACTTTTATTTTGTATAATTTATTATTCTTTTATTTAAAAAATATATATTTCTTTTCCGAAGGTTTTAAATAAAGACTCGTTAATGACTACACCTCTCCTCTAGATCATAGTAAGAAATAGTTCCGAAATTAATTGAAACACAAATGACGCTTCACGCAATCTAGCGAGAATTAAAGAAACTAGTCAAATATGTACCCGTACTCAATCCAGCCAGCTAATCCTTAGGCAAAAAAAAAAATCAGATCATTACAACCTTATTCAAAGAATTAGTACGAATAGAACATCCGAAATTTCAATACGCTTCAGAAGAATTCAAGTGAATTCCAAAACAGGTCCAATTATTCGTATTTACTGCAAAGCGGGATTAACTGAGGCCATTCTCGTATTCGATATAATTTTTTTGAATTCTTTTACATTTGCTGGGTACCTTAAAATGAAAAGTTTAATAAAACATTTCTATAAAAATTCAAACAAATTTATGAATTTGAAGATAAGATTAGTGAAAATAATTTCAGATATATGTATCTTATTAAAAAAATAAAAATAATAGGAACAAAAGACATGAAAATATTCATGAATATTATAATTGTTTAAATTTATTTATCCCCTATTCTTATTTTTTGTGTTATTTTTTATAAAACATAAATGCACATAAATTTAAATAAACATTTTTGTACATTATTTCAAACCTATTATCTAATTTTTATTTGATTTGGAAAATTAAAATCAATAAAATCTAGACGATTATCAGACCAGAGCAAGCATTCGGTCTAGATAATGTGGAAGTGTAAATTCTTGCACATTGCAAGCTCGCTAGAGCTCCGAAAAGTTAGCTGGTAAAATCGCTGCCTTCCAGCAGACAATAAATTTAATAGTAAAAATGTTTATATTTTTCTTTCTTAACGTTTTCTTACTATTATACATTTTATAGTAGGGTCATTGGCAACTCTGTACAGGATACGTATCAAATGAGATAGAAAAGGACAGCACGATGTTCTTGTCCTTTTCTATCCCTTTTGAGCAGCTGCCAACAAACGGCAACATATTTTCTTGTGCTACCACCTTAAGGAGCTTCTACAATATCTCCAAAGGGAAGTCCAAATCCCTTAGAGTTGGATACCCGCGCAATGTATTGTCAATTGTCACATTTTTCAATCAGCTTAATTATTCATAATTAATTAGTTTTAATTACTAATCAATTTACTATTTAATAATTAGTAATTAAAACTAGTTAATTATGAGTAATTAAGGTCATTAAAAAATGCGACAGCTGACAGTACATTGCGCGCGCATCTAAGTACAAGCGACTTGGTTTTGGAGTTGAACTTTGACTTGCCTCTTGGACCTATTGTAGAAGCTCCTTTAAGCCGGCTGAAAATCGACGCGCGCATAGCAAAGCTGGGCCGTCAAGTTGTAAGAATCCCCTTAAAGTTCCTTAGTCTACTAGCGTATGGAGGACCCGGCTTAAAGTGAATTTATGAAATATAACTATCCGGCATAGAGCGGGCTTCTACTCTAATGAAATATACCCCATTTGCTATTGCATTAGAATTCTCTAATATATTTTTTTAATTATTGTAGTTTCAACAATATAAAGTAAGTGGTTATACACCAAAAACTGTGGACGATAGACCTAAGGAAAATGGACAAACGGATGATACTCAACAACATAACAAGGTATTTAAACAAATAATATGTAATCTATAATATTTTGGGATTTATTACTCATAGTCAGTGGAAGTAATTTAATAATGTTTCAGTCCTAAATATAGTATTTTCTTGTAAATATTTTGAAATATATTAGTAAAATTTAGATTTAATCGCGTTTTATTTATTATTGATATTTGGGCAACGATAGTATCTAGAAAATTAATAGTAATTTTAAGAAGTGACTATTTTATCAAAATCATGATTGCATGGAAAACTTAGTCCGACCTTAAAGTCAGTTCGTGTTCTCTTCTTAGATGCATGGTAGGGTGGTGATTTTTGAGAAATTGATGATGGATATAAAATGGTGGATTTTTTGAAAAAATTGTTCAGATTTTATTGAATCTTGCTACTCAGGGGTTTTTGGGGTCTCTGATTACAAATATGATGTTAGTTTATAAAAATTCAAAATGGCGGATCTAATATGTCGAAAAAAAATTTTGAAATGAATGAATCATTAAATTTTATTTCGACAACTTGGCAGTTATTCTAAAACTAAAAGTTTTAGTAAATTCCATAAATACTAAAAATCTCGTAGAATATATTTCAATTACTATCAACACGAAAAGGATATAAATCAACCCTTAACGATCCGAGGATATTAAAAATTTTTAAGACAAAATTGTGACTCAGATGCCAATTCTGACAAAAATTAATAAATTTTTAAACTTTTTTATTCTTCAATACCTTTAATACAGATAAATAAGAAACTTTTAAAAAATGACGTGGTTGTTTATTTTCTTTTAATCATTTCACAATTGGTCACAGTTGGCTTTAACCTCGAATAGGTTTTCGAAAATCTGGTAACATTCGGCTAACGCAGATTTGTTGCAAATTGTCCCAGGACACCAACTTTTTAAGGCCGGAAATCGTAGCAGATCTTTTTTCGAAATAAACGTATATGGGCAAATCCATGAAACCTTTAACTTTTGTGATTCTCGAATCGAACACTAAGAAATCTGAATTACTTTAAATTAAAACTTTGGGTATAATTTTTTTTTGCTAAATTATATACAAAGGAACATTTATGTACAGTATTAGAACAAAATATTTATTTGACAATTAGTTTTATAAGTTAAAATGTGAAAAATGCTCAAATTTCATTTGAGTTTTTTGAAAAAGTTTATATTCTTAACGTTTTTATTTTTGCGGCGTGTAAAATATCACTTCAGCTACTATGGAAATATCTAACAGACATATTTTGTCAAAAAATTTTCACTATCCCTTTAGTGTGCTACCACTAAAACTAAAAATACGAAGATTTGATTGAAAGATAGCACTTTTTAAAAAAATTCAATTGAACGTCTTCTTATGAAAATATCTATTAGGGCGTTGGATAAAAATAAAAGTTCAATCCATTTCTTAAAAGGTGACGAAAAAACAAATTTTAACCTTCAATTATGTGCCTCTATTGTATTCCTGTGGCAACAATTTAAAGATGATAATAAAAATCGTGATTTAATTTAAATTTATACATTTTTGAAAGGCACAACTGCATTTTTGCCTTAAACAGGTCAATCTATGGTGTCTTTACCCCATCTTTTCTCAAAATCCTGACATGCTAAGCAAATTTGGGTTCTAGAATCGTGATCAGAGGACGAAAATACTTTGGAAACCCACTTTGATATCAAAAATAGAAAAAGTTGAATTTTTCAGTTTTATATGTAATTTATTAACATTAAAGAGTTTAAAGAGTTAAACATTGACGGCGTGAGCTAAAAATGAATCACGCATATGAATTTGTAGTGCTAAAATGTACTTAAACATGTATACAAAGTGACATCAATGTGCAATAAAGTTGAGATCTTAAAGATTATGTTGTACAATTGTCAAATTTTTCCATACATTATTATAGATTATGCCGGAAATCAAAAACATTAGTACGAAAGTACGACAATTGCATAATTTTTTTTTGAAATCTTTTCGGTGTTATAAATACAATAAAAAAGAAAAAAATTTTCTTCCTATACATTCAGAAGCAGAATTTTATCAGCTTTCCAACCATCTGAGGTAGAAGTCTCTTTTTTTGCTAACTTTAAATATGTTGCTTTAAAGTCGGCACCGAATTCCCACTCCTTGCACGTTAGTTGGACCGACAATTTCCGACGGTAGTGTATGTGTCATCTTTTTTAACAAAAACTGAAAGAACCCTGCACCATATACGTGGGAACTTGGGGTTTGGTGAAATTTCTTGTAACTTTATAGTTTTTGACCTCCTGAACAAAAAATGTAAATGGCAAAATTCAAAAAAAATGGACAGTTTTTTTAATAATTAAGGTTTAAGTTTTAAAAATATGTTACAAGCAAAAAATTTCAAGAATGAGTAAAACCAAAAGAACTAAATAAACTTTCTTAAAACTCGTTACTCGGAGGTTTTCAGGGTCGCTGATTACGAATTCGAAGTCAATTTTTAAAAATCAAAAATTTCGGATCCAATATTGTCGACAAATTTTTTTAAAATACATCTAATTCACTTAAAACTTGTTACTTGACGTTGTAACGATAGAGTATCGTAGTATAGTGGCCCGGCGAAAAGAGAGAAAGTAGACAGCGTAAGTAGTAGTATCACTCTCTTCCTCCACCACTCGCTGTCACCTAGCTGCTAGTGACATACCTTTCGTCTCACACCTTTTCCTCATTCTTCTTCCGACTCGTCTAGAGGTGCTTCTCTGACAATTCGAAGCGACTCACTCCTGGCTACCTGGTGCTCAGTAGAGGTGCGTCTCTCTGAACACCGGAGCCTTCCTCACTTCCTAGAAGGAGCTGTACTTGTTCCTGTCGGCGCTTCTGCGGAACAGTAACACCCTTCGCCTTCCTTCCTCCTGGTGAACTGGACTTCCTATGGGCGCTTCCGTGGAAGACTGGTGAACCAGGTTACCCACTCACATCTACCAGGACCGCCCTTGTCGAGTAGAGTCGCTCCTCTCTTGACAAAGATGATGCACTAATTCGATTCCCCATCTCGAGGCGCTTCTCGGGTGGACGAGACACCTAGTGAATATTACTTTGCACTAGCTTCGCGTCCGGCATGAATATTGGAACCGAATCCAATATCTAGCTTCTTCCCGATTACGAATAATAATCGGCCTTGCGTGCACGACCCTAGTATCCGCCCGAACCGTCGTCTAGGGGGTAAATTCTAGAAAGTACCCCACGCGAAAGTAATATGCGTCGTCCTGATCAACATCATCGCGAACGTGGTAAATATGTTTAAATCCGCTTTATTCTGGATTAATGACGAGCGCGATCGGAGCTTAGCCAACGCTCCTCTAGAATAGCTAGTTCTTTCATCGTTATTTTTTCTAGAGATTAGTATTTTATTTGCATTGTATAGATTCTTTCGTTCTTATATTATTTTATGTAATAATTCATTTTGTATATTTTATTATTCTTTTATTTAAACAATATATTCTCTTTCGAAGGTTTAAATAACGACTCGTGAATGACTACACCTTTCCTCTACATCATAGTAAGAAATAGTTCCGAAATTAATCAAAACATAGATGGCGCTTCACGCCATCTAGTGTGGGGGTTGGCCAATGGATGTCTCTGCCATTGGTCAGTATATGGAAACAACTGTGTTGTCACCCATAAGCAGAGTTGCCAATGACCCTACCTAAACGCAACTGCGCTTGCGCTACAATCACGCTCTTATACGTCGAAAAAAGCGCGCATATATGAAATGCTTAATAATAAGAATACATTAAGAAAGCAATATAAAAACATTTTTACTATTTAATTTATTGCTTTTTGTTAATTATATTGCTTTCTAATATAAATTTTTTTTTTTACACTCTTGCGTCTATAATAATAAATTATTATTATTATATTGACATCTTAATAAATAATGATTTTAATAAATATTGATATTAATATTTATTATATTGATATTAATATTAATAAATAATGATCTTAACAAATAATTAATAAATAATTTGTCTCCCTATCAATGATAATAATAATAATTTGAATAATAATTATTAAATTATCATATTTAGAGTAATAGCTATATACAATATATATAGCTATATATTATGATTTTTTTCGAGTTATTCTTCTCTAGATCCGTAGTTTTTTGCAAAAACAGGGGTACCTCTTGTAGGATTTACTACGGTCTTAGTTGATTAGAAGCTATATATTGCGCTATAATCAACTCTGGGTGCACACAATAAAATAATATTGATAATACCCTTACCCCAATAAAAAAATAATAAAAAAAGGCTTTTTTGAATGAATTTTAAATAATTGTTAAATAAAAAAATAAAAAATAAATAAAAAATTAAATGTTATTGATTTTATTTATATTTTCTTAAATAAAAAATTTTAATATTGCTTTCAGAAAATATATTCCTATGAAGCAATATGAGAATTAAATTATTTTACTAAAAAGTAAATTTTTAATAAACTATATACAATATAATATATACTAGAAATAAATAATATATTTTATGTTAATTAAAATTTCTAAAATTTCATATTTACATTTTTTTACTGTTTAATAAACTAAATAAAAGATAAAATATATAACAGAAAAAAACAATACATATTATTTTAAAACAAGATTTTAAAACTCTAAATTTATATTTGACCAACTAAAAAAATTGAAGCTGCTTTGAACCTCATAACGTACCTAAATAGAGAATAATATTAGCATTTGAAACAAAAAATTATTTGCGATGTGACATTTCAAAGAAAGATAACTATAAAATGAAAAATGTATAATTTTTTACTGAAAATTATTTAAGGATTATTATTCTTATATTGTGAATAATCAGAATATAAGTTAGAAGGTTCCATAAGTTCCAAATGCCTATTATCAATTTCAAAGGAGGTGCAATCTAGACCGCGTGATTGTAAACTAGTGCGAAATCTGCAAATTGCAGTTAGCATATCATTTTTCATTTTATTTCTTTTCTTTGATCGCACATCTGTTACAATTGAAAAGAAACGTTCTGCGCCTGCATTGGAAT